AGGCACTGGTCTTCTCACTTTTAAAGCAGGCTTATTTGTCTTATGAATTGTGCAAACACCTCCTGAGAAGCTAATTAAAATGGAAGCCCATGCTGCCAAATCCGGGAAGCCTCCAAATAAGCATGGTGAGGCTGCCAGAAAGTGTTATTAATACACACACCCAACCTCTCACTGTGGCTTAAGGGGGCATAGGACTCAGAAGGACAAACTCAGAAAGGTGACTTTAAGGTGGAAGGTGCTGAGCCCCACTGTCAAGCACAGCACGAGGCAGAGGGAGGGGGCACTGGATTCGTGTGGAAATGAGTATTTGACTGCTGGTGGGTGGATGGAATTTAGGAACAGGAGTAAAACTGAATCCCCTGCTTCCAGCGCCAGTAAGAAGAAAAAATGCTATTTCCATGTAATTTGTATGCTATCATCTCAAGCTAAATGATTACTATTGATTGTGTAACCCTAAGTGGAAACAGTCATGTTTAATGCTAAATAATCAGAGTGAAATGATAACCACAGAAAACATGTCATAAGGAGCAAGGAGAGAATGGCTACCTCTAGATGTATGGCTGAGTCCCTTTGCCATTCACCTGAAGCTATCACAACATTGTTAGTTGGCTAAACTTCAATATAAAATAAAGTCTTAAAAAATATGATCACATTACAAGAGTATAGAAAAAGTACTTTAAAATCTGTAGGAACACACTTAAGAAAAAATAGGAACTATAAGGAAAAAAATAGGAACTTAAGGGCATCAAGGAATACTTTCCTCAGTGACACTATATTATACTCCTGACTGATAAATTCGGTATCATAAAAACCTAAATTTACCTCAAATTCACATATGAACTTAATGTAATTTAAAAAAAGAATCAGTGGCAGTTTTTTGAAGGAAGTTAGAAAACTGATGTTAAAATTCACCTGAAAGATCAAAGCTATGAGAATAACTGAAGACCTTTTGAAAGAAAAAGTATAGACAACATGAACTTCCAGGTAATTAAAGTATAAAACTGTATACTGTAATATAATAATATCACAGTATATAATATTAATATATAATATAGATGGTGTATGTAATATATAAAACTGTAATAATTGAGACAAGGGACTGTGTTACAGGATAAGAAAATGGACATGTATAACAGAAGAGAAAGCCTAAAAACAGAACTGTTTATGTATAAAATTTCAATATGTGATAGAGACTTCATATCAAATCAGTTTTGAAAGGAAGTCTTGAGTAATATTGTTCAAACCTGGAGCTATTTATTTTGGATAAAAGTAGATTCAAATTCCATATTATATATTATTTATATATTTTATAAATTTAAATTTGTTATAGAATTAGAGGTAGAAATGAATTATAAGAAATTACAGGAAGCTCTCTGATCTCAAGGTGGAGCTAGATGTTCTATGCTTAAAAACAAGGAAAGAAACTATAAAAGAAAAGATTGATCAGTTCTTCTCCATTAAATTTAAAATATGTGTTTTCAAATTTACTATAAATAGGGAATTCCCTGGCAGTCCAGTGGTTAGGACTCCAGGTTTTCACTGCTAAAAGCTGGGGTTCAATCTCTAGTCAGGGAACTCAGATCCTGGAAGCACACGGCCCGCCCCCTCGCCCAAAATTACCATATACAAAAATAAAGGAAACAATAAATATAGATAATATATGTCACATATACAAAAGGCAAAGAATATAATTCCTTATGTAATAGTCTTCCCAAAGATCAATAAGGGATGGTTTTTATACTCAAAATCAATAAGCAGTTCTCAAAAATCAATAAAAAGAAATGAGAAGTACCAAAAAAGTGAGTTAAACTCATAATAATAGAATTCATTTTAAAAAGAAAATAAATGGCCAGTTATTATGTGAAAAATATTAGCCTTACAAGTAACAAAATAAATGCAAGTTACAGTAACAATGAGATATCATTTCTCAAATTGACAATGAAAAAAAAAATCAAAACCACTGCTGATATTGCAATGAAATTAGTACTCATATTGCCATATACTCAATTCTGGCAGAAGTAGCAATCAATACAAGTCTTCTGAAAGGAATCTGGGTACGTGCTAAGTCACTTCAGTTGTGTCTGACTACCTGACCGTGTAGCCCACTAGGCTCCTCTGTCCACGGGGATTCTTCAGACAAGAATACTGGAGTGGGTTGCTATATCCTCCTCAGAAATTTGGGTACTATATATTAAAAGCCTAAAAATAATTCTAATCCTTTAATTTATCAATTCTGTTTTTAAATAGAACTAAGGAAATGATTTAAGCATACACATAGATTTAGAGATATTCATTCTATATTATCACATATAACCTATTCATTGTAATATTAAATTGGAGAAAAGCTTAAAATGGTCTCAACATCCAACACTATGAAAACAATTAAATGATGGGATTCTATGATGCCATCAAATATTATCAAAATTAAATATTTTTTAAATATTTTCAAAAGAAAAAGGTGAAGCTGAGACTAAACCAGGAAAGGAAGTGACGGAACATTGCTGAGAAGAATTCTCAACTATGAGGAAAATCTTCCGGAAAGGCTAAAAGGAGTCCTGGTTCACAGTGCTTGGTTGAGAGCTACCACCTCAGCTCATGGGTGTCAGATGTGCTTGGATGGTAGATGAGCTTAGAACTGGAGGACTGTGTTCATGTTCCCACTCTACCACTTCCTAGTGATGATGGGCAAGTTACTTATCCTTGCCAAGCCTCCACTTTCTCATACATAAAATGAGAATAAAAATAATCCCTACCTTGCGGGGTTATGAAGAAGATAAAATGAGATACTACATAAAGCATGAGAAAAACTGAACTATCATTATCTTTTCTTTCTCTTTTCATCTTCCTGGAGGCCAGATCCATGATTTCCGTCTAGTCAAAGCTATGGTTTTTCCAGTATATGTGAGAGTTGGACCATAAAGAAAGCTGAGCACTGAAGAATTGATGCTTTTGAACTGTGGTGTTGGAGAAGACTCTTGAGAATCCTTTGGACTGCAAGGAGATTCAACCAGTCAATCCTAAAGGAAATCAGTCCTGAATATTCATCGGAAGGACTGATGCTGAGGCTGAAACTCCAATACTTGGCCACCCGATGCGAAGAACTGACTCATTGGAAAAGACCCTGATGCTGGGAAAGATTGAAGGTGGGAGGAGAAGGGGATGACAGAGGATGAGATGGTTGAATGGCATCATCAACTCAATGGACATGAGTTTGTGTCAGTTCTGGCAGTTGGTGATGGAGGGGAAGCCTGGCGTGCTGCAGTCCAAAGAGTCGGACATGACTGAGTGACTGAACTGAACTAGAGGAGGGGAGTAAAGGAATAAGTAAACAGCTACTTACTGAGTCTCTGCCCTGCATGTTATGCTGATTGCCCTCTTAATCTTCCCCAGGGCCCCTGAGAAAGGCATTAAGATTTCTCATTTGCAGAGAAGTTATAACTCAGAGAAGCTAGGATGCTTGTGTAAGATCTAACTTGAGGCAGAGAATTCTATTTTCTTCCAAAATTACTGCACGATCCAGTAGTCAGCCTTCCCCCAGCCCATTCTGCCTTACCACGCCCTAATCGCCCCACACACTCCATGCCAGGGCCCCTACACACCTGTGGCCATGGGAACAGGGCTCCTCACCCCTCATGCACCCGGACCTGGAAGACGGCCCTGGCCAAGCTGACCCAGGCCAGGACAGAGCCAGACATGCCATCCCTGAGCTCAGAATGGCTTGCGAGTCATAGGCACCCTGTTGACAGAGAGACACCACACCCGGAGTCCACAGCCTAGGAAAATATGGGGGTTCGGAGGAAAGCACTGATCAAAAAACTGTGTGTGCTTTTAGCCCACAGGAGCTGAAGGAAGCCTGTCGGGGTAGAGAGAATCCAGAGGAAGGAGAGGCTAGGAAGGATGTTTGTAAGTCAGGATGGCGATTTGTGTGTGTGTGTGTGTGTGTGTGTGAAGTCCATGGTGGGGTGGAGAGTTGGGGGAGACCTCCTCGTCAGTGAACTAAGTTCCCACATGCCATACAACATGGCCAAAAAAATTAAAAAAAAAAGACTCCCCAGCATGGCTTAGCCCTTTCACTCTAAGTAGGATACTGAGGTTAAGACATGCCAGAGAAAGGCTGCATTGCATGGTGGAAGAGCTGGGCTTGTCATTCTCTGAGATCTTTGTTCCAATTCTAGTTTCTTTACTTACTTTGCTGTGTGAACTAGGTCCTAGATTGGAGAAGAAAATGGCAACCCACTCCAGTATTCTTGCCTGGGAAATCCCATGGACAGAGGAGCCAAAGAGTCAGACACAATTAAGCACTAGGTCCTAGATGGGTACCAACACTACTGAAACTCACATTCATGGAGTGCTTACTAAAGAGTGAAGCCCTGCCGTAAGCTCTGACTATTTGCTACCCCGCTGAATCCTTAGAATAACCCCAGGGATATGATCCATTATGCACTCCCTTTTGCGGCTGAGACTAAGGCACTGTGCAGACCCCCACCTCCTCTTGGGGCTCAGAGTGCTCAGCATATATCCTGAGGCACCTTGGGTGAACTCTTGTCCTTTATAGGGCAGGAAGAGTCTGACAATCAAAAGGCCAAGGTCAGAAAAAAAAATTTTTTTTTTTCTATTAAAACCACTTCTCTGGATAAAGCTGTATGAAGGAGGTTCCTAGAGGGACATTCACAAAGGTTCTGAAGCCCAGTCTGCTAAATCTGGTCACCAAGACTCCCTCCGGTTCATAAGAGTGGTGCTCTCCTCCCCCAGGCTGGGCTCTGATTTCCGGAACCTTGGGCTCAGCCCTCTCAGAGCCTCAGAAGTGTTGAAACTCTGTAGAATTCAGGGGAAGTCTGGGCTGGGTCAGAGCCTGTGTATTTATCCCTCTGGGAGTTTCCAGCTTTGTGTGGGCTCAATGTCAACAATTTTTATCCGAGAAACTCTAGAGCTGGTTAAGGGCCAAAGTTCTCTTTACCCAGCCCAGGTTATTGGCAAGAAAACTCTAAGCTAACATTTTTATGAAAGGAAGAGATGTGATTGTCATGAGAGGAGAAGGCCAGCATTTGTCTGATGCCAGGTAAGTGCAGGACTTTTACATTCGTCCTCTCACTTGGCTCTCATCCTGGAGGCGAGGGTGGGGGGCACGATACCCATTTCAGACAAGGGAGAACTGAGCTGGCCAGGTCACCCGGGGAATAGTAAAACTGGGAGATGTTTCTCTTTCCAAAGCTAATGATCTTTTCACTGCCTATGGTTTCTTTCTATTTTGTCAGCTAACAGACAATAACATGTAGTGGTCTAAGAGTATAAACAAACTGGGTTTATGATGATAGTTAGCTATGTGACTTTGTTACTTCATCTCTCTGAACCGCAGTTTCCTCATATGTAAAATGAAGCTGATAATACTGGTGCTTTCTTCATAGGGCTCTTATAAGTTTAAAATAGATTAATATAGGCGGAATGTTTAGACTGTGGTCTGTAACATAGTGTCAACCATTTTAATCTTTTAACTTGACTGAAGGAACACACTGCTGTTTTCCCAGCTATGTAGTGTACCCTGGGGGAAGGAAGAATTCTCATACAGTAAGTGAGTCTCTGTGCTGGGAGGGTGCTTTGAATTCATTAACCCATTGTGCCTCCCCAGGAATCGTATGAGTGAGGGATTTTACAGATGAGGAAATTGAGGACTCGAGAAGTTAAGCCACGTGACAACTGCTGCACTGCCACCGAGTATTAGAGCTGGAACTCAAAGCCTGGTCCCAGACTTCCACTTTCTCCTTTCTACTTCCACTTTCTCCTTCTACTTTCTCTGTCCATGCCTCTGGATGGAAGTGGTATAGTCCAACAAGAGAGCGTGTGTGTCCATGTGACTAGGGGCCTGCCGGGAAAAGAGGGGTGGTCATTTGCCTGGTGTGGCCCCAATTCACAAAAGCATTATTTCCTGACAGAGCCTCTGCATGTTTATGGGAAACTGGCCATTCAGGAGACTCCTGTAATGATGGAAATTTGAAGACCCTGCACTGTGTTTGCTTATTGTCTGCCTACTATGTGTCAGACACTGAGTCTATGAAATTCAATGGAGAAGTGATAGAATTGATTCAAAAATGCAATGAATGCACAGTCATAAACTATGGTAAGTTGCATGAAATAAAGTTCTAGAGTGTTAAAAGCAGTCGATGGCGTGGGGGTCTGACCTGATCTAGCTGGGGCTCAAGAGACAGCATACAGAGATCTAAAGGAAGAGAAGTTCACCAGGTAAAGGAGAGGATAAATGTTTCAGAGAGTAAGAGCAGCATATACAAAGGCCCTGTGTGGCAAAGGAGCAGGGACTCTTTGAGGAAATGAAAGATCCCTAAGTGCCCAGAGGATAGAAATAGAGGGACAAAGAGACTCAGGATGAGGTTGTAAAGCTAGGAAGGGGCCAGAGTTACAAAATCTCAGTGAGCACATAGAATTAGTTTGCTCTAAGAGAATGGGAAGGAATTTAGTTAAAAGAATTAAGATTTTGTGTGGAACTTCCCTGGTGGTCCAATAGCTAAAACTCTATTTTGTGTTCCCAGTGCAGGGGACCCAAGTTCAATAGGGAGCTAGAAAGAGTTTTCATGCCACAACTAAAGATCCCATGTGCTGCAAATAAGACCCAGCACAGCCAAATAAATAAATAGTTTTTTAAAAAAGAATTAAAATTTCTGATAGATTGTAAAGATTCCTCTGTTGAGGATATGGTTTATGTAAGAGTGCCCATCAAATTGTGAAGAGATGACAAAGTCTTCTGCTTGCCTGCCAGCTTTGAAAGGTAATGAGCGGCCATGGGAATAATGTGCTGGAGACACTGTGGGTGTATCTGAATCCAGGGGGAATAAGTATTGCCAGCCACTAATGATGGAGGCCTGGGGTAGCCCAGAGCTGGCTGCTCTAACTTAGGAGGCTATATAAAGCACAATACCCACTCCAGTGTTCTTGCCTGGAGAATCCCAGGGACGGGGGAGCCTGGTGGACCGCCGTCTATGGGGATGCACAGGGTCGGACACGAATGAATTGACTTAGCAGCAGCAGCAGCAGCAGCATAAAGTACAGTGGCTCAGACTGACCCAGGTTTGAATCACACCTCTGCCGCTTGCTGTCTGTCAAAATGTAGGCAGCTTACTTAATAACTCAGAAGCTCTGCTTCCCAAGCTGTAAAATAAACAAAGCAGCACTCACCTGCAAGAGATTTTGTGAGGATTATAGGAATTAAGATGTTAAACAATCCAGCTCAAGATGGACTCCATAATACTAAGCTTCCTTAGTATATAAAGGAAATTGCTGAGTATAATCATGGAATAATAAAAGTTGAAATTACCTTAGAGTGAGAAAAAAGGAAAAAAAAATAGAAAGGCCAATTTATTTCATCCTTTCACAACAGATTTTTGACCTGTTTTCTGCGTACTGTGAAAACTCTTAGCACAGAGAACTGACAACCAACACGTAGGCTGTGTTGAATCAGGCTTCTAGGGTACAGAAGAAAGTTTTGGAGAATACAAGTTGGCTTCAAGTATGAATGCTGTGCAACAATCTTCATAGAAAAAACAAAGTGGGCAGTTTGGTTCATTTGTGTTCATTTACCGGGTTTGATAAATGGGATGTAAACCAAGGCACCAAAATCTTAGGCACTGAAGCAAATGTGTCTGTGCACCCAGAAGGCCAGCAAACAGGAAGTAGTCAGGAGACTGTTGGATAACTTAAACACACTGAGAAAGTAAGAGGTTGGGGATGCCGAAGAATTAACAGGGGATTAGTGAAGAGGATTTCTTCAGAGAAAGCTGTTAGTAAGCTGTCAATGCCTGCCACCCCCAGGGTTTCCAAATATATATAACTGGAAATAAGCAAGGACTAGAAAAAAGAGCATAAAGTTTAACTTCCTGCCTTTCAAATACATAAGTGTCATATCCCACAGAGTTGAGAAAGGTTGCAGTTCTGAGAAGGGAGCCATGTTTCTGTGATCTTTGACAGGTATGGAGCAAGGTTCCATAAGGCTGGAAATAAGCAGTTTCTAATTTTCCAAAAGTTGAATTTTGAAATGATAAGACTACGCCTCTGATTTGGGCAAAACCCTAGAGTATATTTCTAAACATTTAGGCATGACAATGATCATCACTAGAAGCCAGCACTTGTCTGAGAGGATTACTGGAGGAGCCTGGCCAGGAGCATGCTAAAAAATGTATTCTGATTTCAGAGGGAGATTTGACAATTAGGTTCATTATAGAGACATCAGTGTAATGATAAGCCAGGGTCATAGCTGATAACCACTTTACTCACATACCTTCATGGCTTATTGGTCTAGAGGAGTAACCTTGGACTCACAACATACAGCTGTGGTTCTCAGTCCTGGCTAATAGAATAAACTGGGGAAGTTTTAAAACATGTCAATACCTGGCTGTATGCTCGGAGACTGAGTTTGCTCGTCTATCATTCCCATGAGTTATTTGCATGTATCAACAACTCTCTAGCATTCTAATGCACAAAGGTTTAGCTCTGCTTCCTTAGTGTTGTCTTCTTGGTCATAGGATTCACAATATATTTTAAAAAAACACATTGAATGAAGACAGAAAAGCCAAATGTATTATAGTTCTAAGTTTTTATTTGCTTATTTTAAAGTTAATTCCATCACTTCCTATGTTTAAAGTGATGGAATTACGTTTAAAATAAGCAAATAAATACTCTCAACAAGCTAGAAAGTTAAGCAGAGAAGAGACCCTAACAAAATGAAATGTTATAGAAATAGCATGCAAATAAAATGAGTCAACACATGTAAAGAGCTTAGAGCAGAATCAGGCATCGCTCAGTATCGCTGCAACATCCAACCCTCTTATTGTATGAGGTCGGTGCTATCTCCTTGTTAGAAAAACTGAGGCCCAAAGAACACACCATTCTGCACCAAGGTCATGGGTAAGTGGCAAAGTGAGTAGGAGTGAAGCTCAGTCCTGACTCCAGTGCCCAAGCTCGTGTTTACTATCCTAGGCATTAGGGCTCAATTTGATTTTAGGGCTGAAAGAGGTGTTTTCACTTTATATCACTTTATATATTTTAGACACAAAGGTTAATTTTGCCCAAGGGCATGTAGACAGTAGGAAAGTGAGGACTTGGAAATAAGTTTAATTTAAACACATACACAAATGATGGGAGAAAAAAAAATGAAGGGAGAGAGGGGAAAAAGGAAAGGAAGGCAGACAAGAAGGCAATTCCTGTGTTGAGGGACCTTGCCAGAGCAAAAGAAATCTGGGAAGGTTCTGGCTTATCCCACAGAAATGGAATGCATTAGTAGAGAGTTCTGGTTCTGATTAAGGAAAGCCCAAGGAAGCTTCTGGGAAGTGGAAGTCACTCAGTTGTGCCTGACTCTTTATGATCCCATGGACTGTACGGTCCATGGAATTCTCCAGGCCAGAATACCAGAGTGGGTAGCCTTTCCCTTCTCCAGTGGATCTTCCAAACCCAGGGATTGAATCTAGGTCTCCTGCATTGCAGGCAGATTCTTTACCAGCTGAGCCACAAGGGAAGCCCAAGAATACTGGAGTGGGTAGCCTATCCCTCCTCCAGGGGATCTTCCCGACCCAGGACTCGAACTGGGGTTGTCTGCATTGCAAGTGGATTCTTTACCAACTGGGCTATCAGGGAAGCCTGAAGCTTCTGGGAAATGCTCACAAAGAGGTCCTTCAATGTGCTCACAGACAATATTGGATTTTTTCTGAACTGAAAAGTTCCATTAAACAGAAAAGGAGCGCTCCTTTCAAGGAGAGTGTTAAGGGGTAGGAGTTGAAGTTTATGTTCATTGGCAGAGCAAAATTACAGCCCAGAGTTATGGAGATGGATATTGCAGATGTTTTATAGCAAAACACCAAACCTTTGACAAGGAGCTAGTTCAGAAGAACTACATAACATGAGTGGTGGCTAGTGCCTGCCTCCACTTGTTAAGGAAGAATCTTTAGGCCCCAGAGAGTATACCCCAAGGGTTAGGAGTCCCTGGAGGGGATCCCACATCTACTCATGAATGAGGGTTTTTTTGGGGGGAAGGATTACCATGTTGCTTCTACGCCATTTTTCTTCTTCTCTTTCAGTCTCTTTCCATGAGACTTCCATTCCATGTGATGGAGTTGCTTCATTCACTAGTGAGCATGTAGATTAAATGAGATGACACATAGTAGGCACTCAACAAATTAAAGTTAGTTATAATAACAGCATCAATAATGGAGAAAACAACTCTTCTGAACTTTTCTACTGATTTAAACTACAAGGCCGCAGAAATTAGGAGAGACCTGTAGAAGCTAGTTTGGAATACTGGAAGGAAAGATAATTTTTTCCTATTGATGACAGTGATTCAGTCTGCAAATGTAGGAAGACAACCCAGTCAGGATGCAATAATGATTCCAGGCATGAGTCACTATAGTAACAGGGTCTCTTAAACAGACTAATGGTGGACACTTGATCTAGAGGTCAGATTCCTCCAGCCTGACCTTCTCAGCTCCAACCACCTTGGAGAATGAGGTTAAAGATAGCAATGCTTTAGAGGGTGTGTGCTGAGGGTCAGGTCCTGAGCTAAGTGCTGTAGACATATATGTGACCTCACTTAGGTCTCACAGCAGCCTGTGAAGCCAGAACTCTTATTATCACCCCTATTAGATAGAGGGGAAATAAACAGTCTATGGAATGAAAGAAACTGCCCAAGGAAGAATCAGTTGTCTGATCCTAAGATATGCCTTTAACTCCTTTTGACACCTTAGAAATCTCTGGCAGATACAGAGTACCCATACCTGTAGGAGATCCTCTTCCTCCTCCCCTCACTGGCTCAGACCCAAGACCATCCCTACATCTTGGCCCCCTCCAGTTCCAGCCAGGGTGATTTCCCTCTTGTGTGAGTCTTTGTGAAGGACAAATTTAGCTTCCTGCTCCTACATCTTTGCTTCTGAACCAGATGGAAGACTCATATGACTCTGAGCCTCGGGTCCCCGGGGAGAGCATGTGCAAACACCAGCTGCCACTGCAGCTCCTTCTGCACACCCAGTGTTGGAGGGGCCCAGATCCGTGCTCTGAGGGGCTGAGCACCCTGGTCCCTTTTGGGTGCAAAAGTGACATCTGGAGGTCATCCTGCCTTGGTCAAGGTGACTACTTCTTGGCATGAAAAGGCAGAGTCCCTCTCAGCATTCCTAGCACATGCATGCTTGCCGTGTTGCTTCAGTCATGTCTAACTCTTTGCAACCCCATGGACTGTAGCCCACCAGGCTTCTCTGTCTATGGGATTCTACAGGCAAGAATACTGGAATAGGTTGCTGTGCCCTACTCCAGGGGATCTTCCCTACCCAGGGATCAAACCCAACTGGGTATCTTACAGCTCCTGCATTGGCAGGCAGGTTCTTTTTTTTTTTGGCAGGCAGGTTCTTTACCACTAATGCCACCTGGGAAGCCCTATTCCTAGCACAGATAGGCCTAATGTTGGGGGGAAAACTATCAGCAAGAGGTGGTGCAGCCGGATGGTACTTATTCTCCCATCTCAGCTGATTTTCCTAATTTCCTTTCTCCGGGATGGAGGCCACATCCACCAAAGTCAACTCCTCCTACTGGCAAGAAGCTCAGCAGAACCTGCACATGCACTTTTGAGGAAGAAACCTTGATCAGTCCCCCAGGTGTGAGGTGAGATTTCCCCTCCAGTTTTCCATGTAGGTCTTTGAAAAGCTTTGTCTAATTGAGTTGCCCTATGCGTGTCTCAAACTCCCAAATCCTGCATCATGTATATAAGAGAAGGTCTGCCACTCCTATGAATCCTCACGGCCTTCGAGAAAATATGTGCCTTGATCCCATGTTACTTTAAAATTTCCGTGGAGAATTCCTAGAGTCTGTATTAAGGATTTCAGAGGAAGATAACTTTGATCTTTTAAAGTTGGGAACTAATCCAACAGTTCTGTAATCACTAAAGTGGGCTCAAAGGCATTCAGAGGACAGATGGAGCCCTGGAGTCCATAAATGCCATCTTACACTGAGGGTCCAAGAGAGTTGGCCTGTCTGAGTCAAGATCAATTTTATACTGAAAGATCAAGAGCATCCTATTCTCTCCTCGAATCTGGGGACTTTGCCCACATGACAGCAAGCTTTGGATAGTGTCTCAGGTTTTCTTGGTAGAGGAATCATACAGCCTCTGCAGATCATTTCTCTAATTCCTTGAAGTTCTGTTTTTCTTGAGCTCAGGCTAATAGCTGACCCACTTCTGTCAGGAAATTGCTTGATCGTGGGCATCTGCAAGCAGTGAGACGAGGCTACGTGACCACTGCTCCGAGACTCCATCCTCCTTCTCGTTCCTGCTGCCACCAGATGGTCCTGAGATAATGCCACGTCTTTCCTGCAAGAAACAACATTCATGAACCATTCTGCCAATCGCCACTGATAGTTTTGGGAATGCAATCCATCAGCCTCTCCCCTCTTGTCATCATTTCCCCTGTCTTATCTTCAGAGGGCTGGGGGACCTGAGCTGGTCTCTTTCCAAGGAGAATCAATCATCTCATGTCTGGCGCTCAGGGGTCTCACGTAGCTGATATAAATGTGCAGTCTGGGAGTTCCGGCTTGCCCATGGAGGCTTACAATGTGCGTGTGACTACGCTATCATTCTCAAAATTATTTATGATACCAATCTTACTCCTTCTATCTTAAGATTCATGTTCTTTAGTCAAACAAATCAAACAAGTGGAGTTCTTGCCTCTCACAATTCCCCTGGGAGACTAAAAACAAGATGATGTTAGCTCATAAACTTGGCTTCCAGCCAAGCTTTGATCTCTGATCCCAGCCCTTCCCTTGGTCCTCAGCATGACTCTAGCCACAGTTAGACAACATCTCTTTCTAGCTCTGCTGATGACAGAAGAGGCAAGGAGTGGAGCTTATTGAATCAATAGTTACTGTTCCTGGATATTAATTAGTAGGAGAGAGAAAAAGACCTCAGAGGTGAGATCATTGTTAGCTGGAAGAAAAAGCTGGCAGAAATAGATGGCACAATTATCCTGTATCATTCATCTTTTTAAGTGTAAAACCAATGGCTGACATGCAAAGGCCCGAGGGTTTCAAACCCAGAGACTATGGAAGATACTTTGAATGCATGGCTTGACATAGGCGAATTTGGGCACTTGTAGATTTCATATTTGAGGTTTCAGTTATTTTCATGCTACCCTACAAAGGCTGTATTATACCACCGTTTAAAATTTTTGCCAAGGCACAAATTTGGATTACACTATGAAAAGCAAGTCATCTAGCAAATGAGTGAGTTTAGCTGATGGCCTGGCATCAGATTCTCTATGGTGCTTTATCTCCACTTACCACATGATTTCACTACATTCTCACAAAAAGTCCTGTTGGGCAGATATTATTACCCTTCTTTCATAGATGAATGTATAGGAGATTGTGGGCTGTGGTAATACTTGTGAAGATGAGGATTTGAGAAAATTTCAGAAAGTATCTCATTTGCATGTCAAGAATCTGCTGGGCTAACTTTCTTCTTCTCTACTTGAAATAATCCAGCCAAAAGAAAAGACATAAGTGCAATCATTTGGAGAATGTCTTAAAACTGAAGCATCAACTGAGGCCTCTGTAGACTATAAAATCTCATTTGATCTGCTACAACCTTCCACTCTGCCATCCACAGGAGCTTCCTCCCAGAGTTATCTGCCAGCCCTCTGTGCCTTAGGCTCATATGATTAGCTTCCCTGAAGACAAGTATTACCTTTATTACTTTGGAAATATACCCTGGCCAATGGCAACCCACTCCAGTGTTCTTGCCTGGAGAACCCCAGGGACGGGGAGCCCAGTGGGCTGTCGTCTATGGGGTCACACAGAGTCGGATGTGATTGAAGCAGCTTAGCAGCAGCAGCAGCAACCCTGTCAAAGGTTTCTGTAAAAATCCAAATGTTTTAGGGTTTTGTAGACTTCGTAGAATTTTGGGGAGGGACAGGGGGTGGTAAAGAAGAGATACATGAAGAAGCACACAGCGGGCCACCTTTTCACTCGCCCTCCCTCCTTTCCCTTTTTTGTAAGCTCATTCTCCAAGCCCTGTGAGAGCTACAAGTCATCCTCTCTTTTACACAATCCTTGGTCTTTCTCTCTAAAAGAGCACCAGCCAACTCTTAGACCTCAAGAGGCTTAGACTGCCCTCAAGAGAGGCTATCAAAGTGTTTTCCTGTGAAAATGTTCTTGTATCTGCTGCTGAAAAAATAAAACTTTCCCCCTTTGGTGATTTGACCATGAGAATGGTCCTAAAATGGAACAGGTTGCTCCAGGAAATAGGGAGATTGATTTCTCCAAGCCAAACATGTGAGCACTATTTAGGGAGACATGAAGAAAGATTTAGATGGATGATTACACCAAGTTATCTTTAAGATCCTTCCAGCCCAGAAATCCTTTACTAGAAAAGCTCTGAGCACTTCCAAACTCTGACAGCAGGGATTCGAGTCCATGCTCATCTCTCACTGGCTGCAGGAAGGTGGGTACAGCATTTAATCCCCTCCACTACTCATTCCCCACAACTGTAAAATGTTGGTGATAATTAATAAATGACAAGAGGTTTCTCAGTTATTTAGCACAATGCTGCTACATAGCCATAGCATCTTAAAAGAGGGCTGCTGGTATTATTTGTATTTCACTGTCACTAATGTTTTGTTTGGCTGGGTTATCCAAGTCAAGGAGGCAGTGGAATTTAATGAAAACTCAATTAAGAGTAAAAAGAAAGAAACTCTAGTACCACATTTGCTACTTATAACCTGAGTGGTGTTAAACAGACCATGTGACTGATCTGGGCCTCAGTTTCTTCTTTGAAACTGTAGGGGGGTGATCAGGATCCTCTTGACTACTTTACACAATTGTCATGAGAGTGACAGGAGGAAATTCAGGTAACTGTGTCCCCAAAACTTTAATTACCTTAAAAATTGGTCCAAATGACAGAGTTTGCCCCTTCTGCCTTAGATATCTGTCCCAGAGTTTCTGAGTTCTTTTATCCCTAGTGCTTGTCTCGGACCCACCAAGGCATGCCAGCTAATTCATGGTTTTTGAGAAATAACCCCAAATCTTCCCTCAATCCCTCCTCCCTCACTCCCTTGAAAAGCTTACTGTTCAGTGGTCCCCACTCTCTGCTGGTTCAAGAATTTATTAAAGATTTTGCAAGCTACCATTCTCTGAGAATATATTTGCATTTTCAATAGGAGTCTTCTAGAGGCATGATCAGAGAAGGCAATGGCAACCCACTCCAGTACTCTTCCCAAGGACGGAGGAGCCTGGTAGGCTGCAGTCCATGGGGTCACAAAGAGTTGGACACGACTGAGCCACTTCTCTTTCACTTTTCATTTTCATGCATTGGAGAAGGAAATGGTAACCCACTGCAGTGTTCTTGCCTGGAGAATCCCAGGGATGGGGGAGCCTGGTGGGCTGCCCGCTATGGGGTCGCACAGAGTCGGACATGACTGAAGTGACTTAGCAGCAGAGGCATGATCTCATAAGCCAACAGGAAGTTAAAGATGGAATTATTTTAGAGAAGGTGGATCTACTGGGTCCGTGCTAAAAACAGCCTACTTCATCTAGAGGTAAGTCAATTTCACTCTGTTTTGTGTCCTTCTGGAACATCCATCCAAAGGCTCTGTTGATCAGCTGTGAGATCCACAGACTCTCATATCCTTGGAACAGCTTTCATTTTATACCAGCCTATCTCTTCTTTATGGACAGAAGCAGAGGCATGGCCAGATGACCGTGAGACTTCCCTTCTGATTCTTGGAACTGAATATCAAAGAGATCACAAGCAAAGTAACTACAACTCTTTCTCATTTCTTCAACAACAAACATTCACTAGAACTCCTACAGTAAACCAGGCCCATTGCCAGAATCTGAGCATGCAAAGCTGAATAAATGCAAACATAGCCTTAACCAGGATGCCAACCTTTGGACGTGAAACTAAAGAAAAGGACCACTAATTACTAATATTTGAAAGAAAAAAAAAGAACAATAACTTTTTACATGCAGTTTCTCATTTGTTTTTCAAATAACTCCATAATCTAATAAATGACCTTTCCATTCAGCGTAGGAGGCATCTGAGGCTTGGAGGACTTGAGGAATTTGCCTAATGTCAAAAAATCATTCAACAGCAGAGCTGGAATTTGAGAGGGCAGGTACATTAAGTGAGTCACTCCTCCTTAGTCTCTGCCATTCATCTTTGGGATTCTGGGCCTGTATAAATCATATAAATCACACTGGCTCAAACCAGTGTGAACCAAACAAAAGTACATGTTATATGATCAACTCACCCTAGTCCATCTCATATATCAGATGCCCTCTGTTCTTAGCTCCTTGCTCTCTGCACTGTAAGCTAGGCTCACGCAAATGCAAAGTATGGTTTTGCATGCTCAAAATACGCAGTACAGACCTTGAGGGGTGTGTTACCTGCTTGCATCATTATCTTCCTCTTTATCAAAAGAATCCTGATTTCACAGTACCTTTTAGAACTAAAATGGGGGAGTCATGAATAAAACCAGAAGTCTAGTATTAGAACAGTCTTGAAGCTCCTAGGCCTCTTAACTAGAGACAATAACTTAGTCAGAGGACTTTTAGCTCCTCATTCAGGTCCAGAGAGGACTGTAGCTATCTGCAGTTT